CATGGCCTATCTGAGGTTTATTTGCAGAGCAATTACTGGTTTACAGTGTTAATCTTTAGCACACACTGCATCATGATAGCAAATCAGAAGAGAAAATTACAGACTAAGTCAATAAAGAACAACCAGTCTTCTCACCCCATAGCAGTAAATATTGCCAATGCTGAAGTCCTTACAACTGAGGGCTGCCCCTGAAATGTTACACAATGTTTCCTCTCAAAAAAGACCTTGAATGCCTAAGAGCACACAGGAACTCCGTTCTGGGAGTGAAATACAAGTAAATACCATAATACTAGTGGCTACTCCAAGGCATATAGGATAGAATATGGCTGCAAGCTTTTCTCATGAATAGTTCCATATTCTTCAGAAAATAATACTCATGTAACGAGACCTTTCCACCTCCAAAAATTAAAGAGCAAAAGGTTCCTTAAATCCTTTAGTTTCCCTTCCTTCTCAGAAATGATTTTTGAAAAGGGGTGATGCAAAAGATAACTGGCTGAATTCCTGTGTTTGGCCAAATTATTCCTTTTAATTTCCTGCTGTTGTTTTAAACAGGATGCCCTAAGTCTAGATTATTCCCATTGACATTGGCATAAACCGAACCAGTCTCTGGAATGTTTCATCTGTTGAATAGCATTGCACTGAAGCTGGAATAAAAAAGGGTCTTATCGTGACAATTTAGCTAAAATCCCTTAAAATGGAAGAGCAACTTAGCATAAAGATTTATGTGATTAGATTGCTATAAACACAAACTCTAGACCTTCAATGACTTAAACAGAAAGCAGATTTAATCACAAAGCCACCTTCTTCTGTCCTACCTTGCTATTTTAAAAGCATGTTTAACAGCTTTTCTTGTTTCAAAGTGCCCTCATCCCATGAGTGGGGTGGAAGAGACCTACATGGGAGCTTGAGTAGCTTTCAGTGATTTCAGTTCTATCATTATTTCAAAGTTGTTATTCCATTACAGCTCCCTTGTATCAGCAACTGTGGGAGGAAACTGCCTCTGCATCTCAGATCTGAGATGGAAAGCAAACCAGTCCTCCGTGGAGGTTATAGGAGTTCTGTTCTTCAGAGGTCAGGATGGCACAAGGTTCCTTTAATTTAAACTTGATGATATCAGACACATTCTAGACTCTCAGAGTCATTTACACTACTAAGGCTACTGTTCCTGTGATGCTTCAGTAGCACATCCAGGAAAATCTGATAGCAGTGCGGTACTGCCTTTATTTTAACATCAACTTGTTTGTTGTTACATTCTATCAACTACAAAACAGGCTAGAAAAGGAGAAAATTGTAATTTCAAAATCTGCACATCTAAAATTATGAAGAAATCCAATCATCTTCCTCTCAAGCCTGTGGTAACCCCAGACAGAGAGAGAGTCCTGCCTTAATAAGTCTCTAAAGGAAGTTCAGGGACTTCATGGAACAAATCTGAGAACTAGAGAAAAAGCCAAAAACCAGACAAAATGACATCAACAAAGAAAATTAAAACAAAGATCCAGTGATGCCTAATGTGGCTGTGGACTCCAGACAGAATAACCCATTACCTTGGCTGGGGGCTGGAACTAGATGATCTTGAAGGTCTTTTCCAACCCAAAGTACTCTAGGACTCTACTAACCCAAAATTTCCATTGTCTAATAAAAAAGATTACAGAGCACATGTGATGCAGATAAAAGTTCAATGTCAAGCAGTACCTCAACAAATAGACAGGTCTATCACACATTTATTCTCAGTTCAAGAACACAGTGTGTTCTTAAGGTCTGTAAAATCTTTAATAAAACTCTCCTTCCTGCTCAGAAACGTGACCCTTATTGACTTATACTCTGAACACCTTCATATAGGCTCACACCAGCCAATTTTTAATTGATATTTTAAAAGCATTAAATTCTCCTCTCCCCCCATAATGAATAATTAAAATGTAATTTCATAATGAGGGCTTGAACAGTACTTGGCACAAACAAGGGCAGGAA